CCCATCCTTTTACCCCTATATCCCACATACCCACCTTCTTACTTCGTATAACCCACATCCCCATCTTTTTACCCCTATATCCCACATCCCCACCCTTTACACCCTATATCCCACATCCCCACCTTTTGACTTCGTATATCCCACATCCCCATCTTTTTACTCCCTATATCCATCATCCCAAACCTTTTCTCGGCTATATCCCACAGCCCAACCTTTTGACTTCGTATATCCCACATCCCCATCTTTTGACTTCGTATATCCCACATCCCCATCTTTTTACTTCGTATATCCCACATCCCCACCTTTTTACCCCCTATATCCCACATCCCCACCTGTTTACCCCCTATATCTCACATCCCAACCCTTTTGCCCCCTATATTCCACATCCCAACCTTTTTACCCCCAAATCCCACATCCCCACCCTTTTACCCCCCTATATCCCACATGCCCACCTTTTTACCCCCTATATCCCACATCCCCACCTTTTTACCCCCTATATCCCACATGCCCACCTTTTTACTTCCTATATCCCAAATACCCACCTTTTTATCCCGTCGTTGTCTGTATTGTTAGTATACAAACACCACTCAGACTCTGTTTTCCCCCTTTTTTATATTGAAATAAGTTAAATCAAGTAAACGCATAAGTGCTTACAGAAAACCACCAAAACAACCGATACTATGTACATACATATCAATCACAAAAAGAGGTACTTTCTGTATGTACCTGTCCCAAGTCAGGAGCCTGTAATTCAGTGGTTGTCGTTCGTTGCTGTATATCATATTTGTTTTTCGTTTATTGTTTTTGTACATAAATCAGGCCGTTAGTTTTCTCGTTTGAATTGTTTTACATTTGTCAATTCGGGGCTTTTTATAGCTTACTATGCGGTATGGGGTTTGCTCATTGTTGAATACCGTACAGTGACCTATAGTTGTTAACTTTTATGTCATTTGGTCTATCATGGAAAGTTGTCTCATTGGAAATCATACCACATCTTTTTATTTTTATAAGGGTATTTTCTCCTGATTTTTTTTTTTACATCAAGACCATTTTCATAAGGTCTTTATTTGAGGTTCAAACAATCAATAACCAATAATTGTTATTTCTAAACAGATGACCAAAATATAAAGGCATGAGGATAAATCAAGACCACAATTTTGACAGATTTTGACAAGCTGAGCATATTCACGAAATTTAATTTTTAGTAGTTTTCATAAAAATTATGTAAATATGTAAAAACATCTGACAAATAGAAATCAACAAGCTTAGATGCATTAAATCTGTAATTATTTGATCATCTTAATTTTTAAAGACCAAACAGCCTATTCAGTTCAACCAGTGATTTTTCCTTAAAATTTTGTGTGAAGGTATTTCATGATTTGAGGAACAAAATATGATGAAAAAAATTGGGGGTCACAGACTTAGTTTTGTAACTATAGCAATCTAAGTTTTGTGTCTTCCCGAATATTAACATGATATTTGCTTGTTATTTAAACTCTCAAAAATCCCTTTATATTAAACCTACAAGCATAATTCTTGTTTCACTTTAAACAGTAGATTTGTGTCTATCAAATACAGGTTCAAGAGCTTAAGACTCTTATTGTTTTGATCTTTGAAAGTATGGTTTATTTCATTCCCGCCAAAAATAAAACGTAAGAATGAAAAACGTTTCCAGTACTAAAAAATATCTACCAGTGATTTCTTCATAAAAATTTCAAGAAAGAAAGTGCCATGTGTACTCTACTGAAATTCAATAAAATGTGTACTCATTGTTCCACTACTAAATTGTCTATTCTACTTACTAGTACACTTGGTACAATCAAAAACCTGATAATAAATTGTTCAAATAAGGCCTTTGAAAATAGTGGAATTAACTACTTTTGGAGTGTCAAAAACTCGTTGGAAGTACTTGATAAATTGCATGCATATATTGGTGATTTTGAATCTGTTCAAAGTTTTTATTTTTTTACCCTATATACCACTTTACCTCATATTCTTATTAAGAAAAAATTCACACACCTAATTAAATGGGCATTTAAAAAGTCGGAATGCGAATACATATGTTCAAACTCTTTTAGGTCATTTTTTAGTAGCAACAAACAAAAGAGCTATGTCAATTGAACATGCTTTGATACTATATCTGCCCTTGAATTTTTACTTGATAACATTTTTGTTCGCTTTGGAGATTCCGTATATCGTCAAGTTATCGGAATTCCAATGGGGACTAACTGTGCACCACTTATTGCGGACCTGTTTTTGTATTGTTATGAGTTACAATTTATGACTAAAATCAGCAAAGACCCATCGAAACAACATCTGATACAAAAATTTAACAATACTTTTAGATATTTGGATGATATATTGGCTCTCAATAATGACGACTTCAGTATGTATACTATAGAAATTTATCCTGTTGAACTTACTTTAAATAAAGCTAATACTAACAATGACCACTGTCCTTTCCTCGATCTTGATATCTATATCATTAACGGGAAACTTAATACAAAAATTGATGATAAAAGAGATGATTTTTCATTTCCTATCGTTTGCGCGGATTTGATTCTTTCATCAGTGCCTATTTTATTTCGTTATCACTAGCGCCGATACTATATTTGCTTTACGATTAAATACATGTACATGCATTAAACCTAGAATGTATATTGGTAATATTTAAGGAATGACTGTAATATTTTTTCTGTCTATGAAGAAATAACATCAAAAATGTGGTGCACACTGAATAACACGTGTAGCGGGTTATTTTAAAGTGTGCACCACATTTTTTATGTTATTTCGAATAGACAGAAAAAATATTACAGTCATTTCTTATAATTTAGTTCTAAATTCCATTGTAAACCGGAGTAAACCATGAAAAAACGTTGATGACGTAACGGTCACATGACAAAATTATGTCTATGAGCTGATAAACAAAACAACGTCAGCCAATCAGAAGACGCGTTACATCCAAAATTAAATTATATGGATATAAACAGTGTTCCCTTATGTTTAAGATCAATTTCGTCATATTTTTTCGAGAACTTCGGTTTGATACGAGAAAGAAAAGATAGACTTCGTTGTTGGCAAGTACAACACGTATAGAAAAGATGAAATGACGAGAAAGGAATATATCATTTGAATTGTTTTACATGACAATGGAAGTTTTTAACGACCTTGACTGGCTATACAGCCCTTGCACGGTCCGTTGTTTTACATTTGTTATTTCGAGGCCTTTTATAACGGACTATGCGGTATGGACTTTGCTCATTGTTGAAGGCCGTACGGTAACCTATAGTTGTTAATTTCTGTGTCATTTGGTCAGTCTCTTGTGGAGAATTGTCTCATTGGCAATCATACCACATCTTCTTTTTTATATATCAGATGTGTAGCATATAAAATACTCGGCAAGTACAGATAATAATTCATTCATTGTAATACGTTTTTATGGATTTTATTGTGGTGCTTAAAAATGATGTAAATAGAAATTTACTCCGTGATTTGTATTGATGTAAGCAGAATGCACAGATATCTTTCAAATTGACTTATCCTGCTCGAAATTCTACTCCCACCGCCCCTTTGTGAGCAGGAGACAACAGTTATATACATTATATAGTTGACAATTCATAACATATGACTTTTTGTATAGCTGGATAACGGAAGAGGTTTATATGATAAATAAAAAAAATAACTTTTACCTATAATTTACCTGTACACAATCGGCGCAAATGAAAGACAAAATAGGTTCAAGTGAAAGAAAAAAAGTTAAATGCAGATCGGCGCAAATGCAAAAAGCCGAGTTCAAAATTTATATTTCATTATTTTATTAGTACGGAAGTCACAGATAGTGTAGTATCTTTTGTGTCCATTCGTGTTTAATTTCCACTAAATATCAGCGCGACGCTTAATTCCACTTTTCTTGGAAGACGTAATTTTAAGCGTACACCATGTTGGAATCCGTGAAAAACGCGAAAAAGGACGTTATTATTTGACGTTTTTTCATGGCTAGAAATAACGTCATAGAGCTTTTATGTCACTACCAAGTTGCGTTAGTTGATGCGCATAAACAATAGGCTGTTTGTCTTAAAATTTCACTATAATTCTTTGGTCAATTTTGATTGTTTTGGCTTCTGACGACCTTGGCCACATGCATGGACAAACATATTTTTTTGTTATGATGTATATATCATCCATATGCATCATTTTATAATTAAAAAAAGCATTAATGCAATTTTTAGGGCCAAATTTTTGCCATGCTGGCCCTTCTTAGTCCTAAGCTGTTAATAACTATATTGTTCGATAATTTTAATCAGATAATGAGTAATTTTGAATTCAATTTATAAAACAAAAAATATGATTATTTGGTTTTTATATCAGTTAAAACACATTAAAAACTATCTTTTTCTGACAAACGCAACTAGCAAAACCATATGAAATTATTTCCGTGCGCAAAACAGCTGCCTCCTTCTTCAGGTACCATCTAGACCAAGAGTTTTTGGAAGGCACATATAAAATTTTAAGGAGTCTTAAGGTAAACTTTTCATCAGGGCGTACAATCTTATCACAATTTTATATTGATATACTTGAAATACACAGAATGTATTATCTGAATCATGGCAAAACCGAAGACATAAACACAACAATATACGGTCAACTATGTCTGAAGTAGTTGCAACCTGTGCTTTACCGCAATTACACATTGTAAAAAAAAAAGAAAAGTTACGGGCAAAATTTATTTTTGGAATCATGTCAATACCAAAGCACTGGTCACTGAGCAAATGGTACCCTCGGGACTGAATATCCACCATCAGCTGTAATTTAGAAATTTGATTAAGTTATTTGCAAAAAGTGGGTCAAGCAGGACCTAATCGATGATAAACCTGAAAACCAACGATCTTACGAAGTGGGAAATATCTAAGTGCAGATATAACTTCCTTTTTAATTCACATGACAATATTTTGATTTGCGTTATTTGTATACTTGAACTTGATTGGGTGAAATGTTAGTTTTGCATTTTATAACCACTCGGCGGCTGCATATGAAGCTGGAATAAGAAAAATGTCCTACGACGTTTTTCGTTGACTCAACGACTGAAAGTGTATTTTATAAGTAGATATAGCAGAAAATGTCTAAAAATGGTAAGATAATAATAACATCTACCAATAGTACAAATATTTGCCTCATTGTTCGTGAGTTCAAATATTGTAGATTCTATAAAATCTTCTCTTTACAGTCGTTTTTCAAGCGGAAGTCATTTTGTCCAAGTTGATATTTCATTTGTCAAAGCAATTAATGCGGGTTTTTTTACCTGATATTTCAATAAGTTATTTATAATTAATAAAAACAAAAGTTAAATACACGAAGAGTACACAATGCCTAGATTTGTTTTTTATTAACTACATGCTTAGGTCTGAAAGGAATAAAATGCTACGAAACATTACAAAACGGTAGTCATTTTGTCCAAACGGGTGAAAACGTCGAAAAATCCGAAAAACGCTTATTTCCGACGTTGCATGTGCTAATTTTGTGTCAATTAAATATTCCTGATAATAAAAACAAATCGTGTGGTGAAATTTGGAAAAATATATTGAAGGCTGTCGAAAAAAGAATAGTGCATATTAACAAACTCGGAACATAGATTCGACACAGATTAAATTTTGATATTTTATAACCATTTTTAGCTTTTAGTGATTTATTGTTGCTAAAGGCAAATGTTTGATTCAGAATGCGAATTATATGTACAACTTTTACAAAGACAATTTGGAGACACCAAGACAGTCCTCTATATGTTAAAGGTGAATTTTTCGTTATGTTGCGGAAGTACCCTGAAATAGATATACATCATTTAAAGTCGCCCCTTCAGTAAGGTACATTCACCAAATTAAAAGTACAAGTACTCGAAAAGTTTAATTTCGCGACTTGTCCTGCTACTCATGTTATAACTGTCGTACTGAAACTAATTCATGTACTAGCGAAGCTGGGCCTTTTCGTCAAAATAAACTTGTGCATGAAACGGAGGTAACTTAAAGACTAATTGCAAACATCGACGAAAACAGTTTCATTGAAATAATACAACCCGGGATTGTATTACCCGTTTTTACGGACGGTCCAGGAGAAGATTTCTAAAATTTAAAAAAGTACATCAGACGTTAGAAAACTTCAGCAAGAAACTATAGATGACCGGGAAAATAATTTTGAAGCTGGGGTTCAAATAATTGAAGGGCTGTATTTCGACAAATTGTGTGTCAAGGAAAGTACAATTCATTTCAAATCAATCAAGGGTAAAAAAAATGATTTCCTTGCAGAGTGTCGGATATATTTGTATTGGGGTTGAATCAAGATATGGAAAATTTATAATGACATATGATATGCACCATAAAATTTTAGCAGCCTGTGATTAAAGTTTTGTGCTTCTAAAATTATGTTTTATTTATTTATGGAAAACTGTATATTTAATGATTCCGTCCCATTTTGCCTTCCTACATTATTTACGACAATACGGCATTTTAAGGGGAATTAAGGGTAAACATTGTTAATCGATTTCTACAACTTGAGGTAATTCATGGTAAAAATAACAGAGACCGAATCAATCCATAACATATAAAAAAAAAAAAAACCGAATGAAACTAACAGTTTTAATTAATCGACGTCAAAATTTCAGAAAACACTCTTTGACGTCCCATTTTTGGTGTAACGTCGTGTTGTAGGAACATCGTGCACAACGTTACAACGTATGTCCTATATCTTCTTTTCACATTTATAAGGAAGTCTGGTAAGAAGAAACAGCATTTTTGTATCATCTAAGTAACTACAAAGCTATATAGAAGGGTTGACTATTTTCGTAACAACAAAAGGACATTACACAATGAAAAAGATATATTTTTTTAAAACCCCAACTAGGTAATATTATATAAAACAAGACCATTCAGCAAACAGTTACTGAATGTAATCTCAAAGCGCAAAACTGTTGATGAAAAAGTCATGCCTCACCCTTGAAAAGTTTGAAATGGAATGCTCGTTCATGTATTAATATTCCAAATAGCCTAATAAAATATCAAGATTTCAGCAAACTTAGACCGTTAAAATTAAACTAGATTTAAATATCGTTGGCTGAATAAATTAATTCGAAACATCAAAACTGTTCATTTGGGGGTTAAAATTATACAAAAAGAATATTTGTTTTTCGTTTTTTGTTTTGTACATAAATCAGGCCGTTAGTTTTTTTCTTGAATTGTTTTACATTTGTCAATTCTGGACATTTTATAGCTTACTATGCGGTATGGATTTTGCTAATTGATGAAGGCCGTACGGTGACATATAGTTGTTAACTGCTACGTCATTTGGGTTCTGATGGAGTGTCTCATTGGCAATAATATTACATCGTATTATTTTTAAGGAAAAGTTTACGTATATTGAGACAACCATAAAACTTATTAAAAAAATGCTCTGTCCTAGGCAAGGGGTGAGATAAGTCTTCACAAACATGTTAAACCCCACCCCATTATTTGTGTGTCTAACCCAAGCTTTAAGCATGTATTCAAATATTGTCATTGTTTTTGGAGTTAATGAGATTCCCTTAGTTTTTGTTTATTACCTTGATTTGTCTTCATAGCTTACCATCTTTATTTGATTTGCTCCGCATTAAAGGCTGAATTATTAGTTGAGAATCGAATGAAAAACAAACTTACGACAAAATGGTCAGGAAGTTGTTTGGGATACATGTTGCATTTTTGTCTTTTACAGTTCAAAATTACAAGGTTAAGAATCGAGTGATAAAAACGATGCTTGACCTCCACTATCAGGACATCGACAGTGGTTTTTGCTAGTCATGCATGCTACTCCATATTATGTAAATGTATTACAATGTATACTTTATGTTTTTTTTTTGTTTACATCATAATCTTAATTGTTATATCATAAGTAACAAACTCACATCCTTGAGAAGAGATCGTACTCGCCCACACCAAACAAAAATAAAATTAAAGAAGAAACATTGATGCAATTCATGATTAATTGAAAAATGCTTCGGACGCAACAAATTTTTTAAGTTTTATTTTTCATAAAATGTTACATTTTGTCTTTAAATTTTGCGTTCATGGAATTGTGCCAAAGCTATGGTTTGAACTCCATCAAGTGAACATCAGGCCTAATCAAATAGGAAGTTGAAGAACAATAAAAACTAACCATTCAGGAAATTTTGTGCCAAATAAGTCTAAGGCATTCATCTACTTCTTTGGGTCGTAAAATCTTTTCGTGTCTTGAATATTTCAACATTTTATCAACAGTTAATACAGAAAATTAACATATCAATGATATTTCATGTCAACACAAAAGTGCTGACTACTGGGATGGTGATACCCTCGGGGGAAAAAACTCAACTAGCCGTTGAATCGACCAAGTGTTGTAATAATTTATCAAAGATACCTCGCTGACATAGTTATTTTGTTTTTAAAGTGATTAAGATTTACTCAGTCTTTAGTTTTCTACATAAAAGTGGACTGTTGTTCTTCTTTTCGCCGTCTTTCGTTATCTGCCATGGGATAGTCAATATGAAAAAACAAGGAGATGTGATATGATTGCCAATGAGACAACTATCCACCAATCTTATGAGATTGAATATCCCTGTAGTATCTTTTGCCTCTTTTTTTATAAATCACTAATGTGTCACAAGTTCAATTCATCTTTAGATGTATTTTTTTAAAGCATGTGAGAGAAATCTGAAAATACAAAATTCAAACTATTCTTCTACATGTAAAGGAAGTTTTTGATCCTTTTTGTTATGTTTTTGTAGCAGTTCAGTGTTTCTCTCTTATAGTTGATGTGTTTCCCTCGGTTTTGGTTTGTGACCCGGATGTGTTTTCGCTTATTCGACTTATGACTATTGAACAGCGGTATAGTACTGTTGCCTTTATTTAATATGTATTTTGCATGCTTATCCACTGGGTCGATACCTTTGCTGGTGGACTGCCAGTTCCCGGTGGTAGCACCTGCTCAGTAGCCATAACTTCGGTACTGGCATGAAGGATATTGTGTAACAGGTATTTAAAATTCCTGTTTCAAATTTTTGAAGTTATCTAAAATTAAGGAATATATCCCTCTTGTGCAGAGCTCTGATTCCTTTCCCGGCTTTGGCTATACTTTTTGTCCTCTTTTGTTTTATCAACTCCTCAGTTTTTAAATAAGTTTTGGATTGTCAAATATTGGACTCGATTATCTATGAAGAGATATTTATTGTCGAAATACGCATTTGGTGCAGTAAATTTTGTACTGTTAATGTTATTCTTATGAATGTGACTACACTATCATTTCCAAAAGTAAACCCACACATTACAAAACCTGTAAAAATTCATAACCATTAGCTAATTATCAGTAATTAAACATACAAATCTTACTGATGATATGAATTGTGAACATGCTACCATCAATTTTAGAATTCACTCATACATTTTTGTATTATTCAAAATTATCAGTCAAAATGTGTTGCACATTCATGGCTCTACAATCTGTCGATACCTGAATCTTGGCATTTGCACAATGTCATGTGTTTCGCCGACTGTTTATGACGTCTTTAAACTAAATCCATTGGATGTTGGATGTGCACTGATTAATATTTTAGACTTAGATGCATGATTTTTTTATTAGTTGTTATTGACTTTGAACAAACTGTCAGTAACTGCGAGTACTCTCAGATCTGTACTTAGTGTCATTTTGTTGTGGGGATGTATAATTACCCGTCCACGTCCACTCTGTGTTTTTGTTAGATGTATTTCTATTTGTATCCATCTGATGAGCCTTTTTCAACTGATTTTGATAGTTTGTTCTTATGTTGTACTGTTACACCACTTTCCCAGGTTAGGGAGAGGGTTGGCGCCTTCAAACGAGTTAAACTCCACCACATTCTGTATGTGCCTGTCATAAGTCTGTAATTCAGTGGTTGTCGTGTTGCTGTGTAACATATTTGTTTTTGTTTATTATTTTGTACATAAATTAGGCCGTTAGTTTTCTTATTTGAATTGTTTTACATTTGTCCTTTCTGGGCCTTTTATAGCTGACTATGCGGTGTGGGCTTTGCTCATTATTGAAGGCCGTACGGTGACCTATAGTTGTTAATTTCTGTGTCATTTTGGTCTCTTGTGGA